AGATAATAATTACTTTATTAACAGAAGAAGCAACAAGAGTAGAAAGTTGGACACAGATAGCGTCATTTCTTATTGGCTAAAAGAAATAAGCTTCACTTGTTACAAGTCAACCACTTCCCCAACCTCTTTCAAAGGTAAAGTCCAAAAAATTTCTCCTTCTTTGATTCTCACTATGTCAGCGTTCCCAAGGAGGACATTTTCTTTGGGGATCTCTTGTTTGAAATCTCTTCCAACTTGTATGTAAATTTCCTTCCACTTTTAAAACTCACCTGTCCATCCTCTAAGTAAAAAACGAAACCCATGTTGCTTTCAGAATTTAAGCTCATTACCTCCGATTTCTCTGTATTTGTTTGGCTGATTTCTTTAAATGTTAAACCTTAGTTGGTTTAGGAAATTTTAGACCTTTTCTCATCTGTTTATCCTTCATTTCCTCGGGAAAAAATTTCCCACTTGAGTATGCAGTTCTGGAATGTTTCTTATCTAGTTAGCTCTCATTTCTTTGCTACGTTTATTATTATTTTTGTACATGAGCTCCACTCGAAAGTCAAGGTAAGTTGTCGCCTTCCTGGCAGAATGCTTTTGTAAATTCCTCTTTGGTTTCGCTGCGTGTTTGAAAAAGTATACAAAAAGTTCCTGTAGTAGCATTTGTTCAATTTAGTCTCTCTCTAAAATTTTGTTAATTTATTTTCAATATTGGATGTAATTCGATTCTTACGAGTAACATTGTTTAAATTGACCTTTAGAGACGTTGAAAATGGCATTTAGGGGTGGCACTTGATTTTTAATTTTTTTCTATTTTGATGTGTATAAAATTTAAAATATATAATTTTGTCTCTCTAAAATAAGTCAAATTAATATAGTTTGAAATAGAGGTAAAAATTCTAAGGTAAATTTTTCTCTTTCTTTTTTTTTATGATAAAAACCCTTCATCTTCCCAAATTATTCTAAGGTAAATATTTAACTATTAATTTTTTACATTTACTTTATATTAATAATATTTGAATTTATAAAGGATATTATTGTTCAAATATTGTTGTGTATTTTTTATTGACATAGATTTAATCATCAATGAATTTGAAAACATGAAAGCACGTTGAACA